CTGGCGAATCCTGTTGGCCTCACCTTTGCATATGGAATCCAGCCAGTCCCACCCAATCCAAGCACCTTTCTCTCTCTAGTTTGTTAACTGAAGCCACCTACCCGTTTCCATCTTCTTAACTTGTCTACACTATTCTTCACACAGCAACGATAGTTACAATTTTCATATCTAAATCATGTACCTCTCTGTTCAAAACCCATCAATGGCTTCTCATTTTACTTTAACTAAACATTTTTTTAAAAAACCATTAAGATGATATACAAGTTCCTATGTCATCATCCCCGCCCTTACCCTCTCCGTGGCCTCATCTCCCGTCCTTTCCCCTAACTCACTCTGCTTCTCCCACTGGCTTCCTTGTTATTCCTGGAACACACTGATGTGTTCCCACCTCAGAACCTTTGCACGTGCTGTTCACATCGATTAGGGTATTCTGCCCTTGAGGAGCCGCATGGTTCTGTCCCTCACTTTCTTCAGGTCTTTGTTCACGTGTTACGGCCACCTTATTTAAAATAGCAAACGACCCCTTCCACATCCCAGCACTCTGTCCTCCTAGCCTGCTATATTTTTCTTTATAGCACTTTCCACTTATTATCAGATAAATATGTTCATTTGTTTTTTTATACCACACACACATACACATACACTAGAATGTAAGCTCCAGGAGGGCAAGCATTTTGTCTGTTTTGTTCACTGAATGTTTTATATCACCAACCTCAAAAACACTATTTGTCACATGGTAGACACCATAAATAGTAATTTGAATAATAAATCAAATTAAAATGAAGCATGGTATATGCATTATTATTACAACTATGTAGAAATGCTTGTTTATAAGAATAAATTCAGTGATGGCAATAGCTATGCTGAAGTATTGCGTTATAGGTGATTTTAAAATGCTCTTTTCTGAATTTTCTTTAAGGTAGTTGCATTATTTCTATACACATTTTAAAAATCACCATTATCTGCACATTATAGTAAGTATTCAGATGGCCTACTGCAATGAGTACTAAATCAGATGTTTCTTTGGAAAGTTTTTTTCAAATTTGCTTAATGGATTTTACTTGAGGTGATACAAATACACAATGAGAAGATATGTCTTAATCCCAAGGAATTTCAGTGGCTTGTGATTTCAAGTCCACGTAAATTGACCACATTTTGAACACTGAACTTTTAATTTTAGAACAGTTTTAGATTTATGGAAAATTTGCAAATATAGCATAGAGAGTTTCCATAGACTCTCCACTGTTCCCCTATTACTAATATCTTCCTTTGATATGCCACATTTATCTTAACTGACGAACCAACACCGACACACGATTATTCACTAAAGTCCATATCTTATTCAGATTTCCTTAGTTTTTACCTAATGCCTCTTTTTGTTCCAATCTCCCCTCCAGGATATCATATCACATTTAGTCATCCTATCTACTTAGGCTCCTTTTGGCTGTGACAGTTTCTCAGACTTCCCCTCTTTTTGATGATCTTGACAGTTTTGAAGGGTACTGGTTAGCTATTTTGTAAAATATCCTTCTGTTGGAATTTGCCTTATGTTTTCCCCCATGATTAGATGGGTTATGGGGTTTTGAGAGGAATATCACATTAAATGCCTATCTCCACACATCGTATCGACAGTATGTGTGACCAACTTGACTTATCACTGTTGATGTTAACCTTGATCACCCGGTCAAGAGAATTTTTGTTCTGAACCATTTTTATTTACTGATAAAGAAATAATAATTTCCTTAGAATGAGAATATTTTGAATCACTGCAATTTAGGCTTGTTTGGGTAGCTGCTTCTTCTCCTCCTCCTCCTCCTTCTCCTTCTTTTTAAAAACATTTTTATGGTACTTAGTATGCATGAGACACTGTTTGAAGCTTAACACATGTTAACTCATTTTAACTCCACAATAACTCCATGAAGTAGATACTAGTCTCCCATTTTACAGAGGAGAAAACTCAGGCACAGAAGAGTTAAGTAATTTGTTCAGGCTTGTATAGCTAGTAAGTGGCACAGGCAATCTGGCAGCAGAGTGCTTGTTCTTAACCATTACACCGTACTGCCTCTGTGGGAGGAGAGAGAACTTACCGCCATAAACAGAGCCCATTCTTTTTTCCCCTTTGCTCTTTATTTTTTATTGAAGTGTAGTTGAAGTACAATATTACATAAATTCAGGTGTACAGTAAAGTGATTCACAATTTGTAAAGGTTATTCTCCATTTTTGAGGATGGCTATGTGCAAACTCTGCATTTTCTGCTCAATTCTGCTGTGAACCTGAAACTGCTCTGAAAGAATAAAGTCTATTAAAAAAAAGGTTATACTCCACTTATAGTTACTATAAAATATTGGCTATATTCCTTGTGTTGTACAACACATCCTTGTAGCTTATTTTACACATTATAGTTTGTATTTGTCAATCCCCTCCCTCTATCATGCCCCTCCCCGACTCCTCCTCCCCCACTGGTAACCACTAGTTTTTCTCTGTATCTGTGACTCTGCTTCTTTTTTGTTATATTCACTGGTTTGTTGTATTTTTTTAGATTTCACATATAAGTGATACACGGTATTTGTCTTTCTCTGTCTGACTTTTTTCACTTAGCATAATGCCCTCCAAGTCCATCCCAGTTGTTTCAAATGGCAAAACTTTACTCTTTTATGGCTGAGTAGTATTCCATTTTGTGCATATACACAAACATGCACACACATCCCTTCCTTATCCATTTATCTGTTGGTGGACACTAGATTGCTTCCATATCTTGGCAATTATAAATAATGCTGCTATGAACATTGGGGTGCATGCATCTTTTCGAATTAGTGCTTTGGTTTTTTTCTGATATATACCCAGGAGTGGAATTGCTAGTCATATGGTAGTTCTATTGCATTAATTATTTTAAAGCTTTATCTTTGCAGTATATAGCAATGAGCTCTATCTCCTAAAGTAATTTCTTAATTGATATACTTTTCCTGATGAAGGCAATTTCAATTCCAGCCAACTCAACACTGCCATGGGCACTCCTGTCATGTACTGATGCAGAACACCCAGTTATCTGCAGAATCAAGTCTAGCCCTGCTAGTATGGTCCTGAGCTTTGCTGGATAACAAGCCACTGTTGAAGCAGGCCATTCACCACGCCCTCAACACACTCTTTTTCCCTGTAGCTGCTTTAAATGTCTTTCTCTCTGCATCTGTCTCAATCCCCAATTTACTGACCAAGAGTCTGGAAACTTCCCATATCCCACAGCAGAAATAACTTCTCTCTCCTCTTTATTCTCACCAGACCTTGTCCCTGGATCACAAACATGCCTCATCCTGCCTCTCAGTTTTGCACATATGTTTAATATCCTCTATCAGATTGTTAGTTTCTGGAGGCCAAGTATCTTATCACATAGCAATAATACCTTCCAGCGAAGGACCTCAATAAATGTCAAATTGAATCAACCCATTTTCTATTTTAAAATGTCAACTGTTTGATTGGCTCATTTACTACTTGGTTCTGAGTGGCATTATCTGCCTATACATCTATTCTTCCATTATTACCAGTGAGATTTCGCCTTGTCCTCATATTTTATACAGTGCTTTATTTATTACAGCTGACAGATCAATAATGTGTGGTGAGATTCGTAGGTCGGGAGGAGATGCTACCTGTATCCCTATCTTTGACATAATGGAAGAGTTGGACCACTCTGTCACTATTGGCTGTGTCACTTTGGGCTGGTTACACGAACCTTCTGGGCCTCCCTCACAGGGGCGTTTGAGAGGAATTTTGAGATCGGGAACAGAAACAGTAATGAGTGTTAACAGGGGCTGGGGATGTGTCTCTATGCTATGTGTACAACATGTTCAGTCTGTGAGCCCTGGTCCTAAGATATAAAATAATCAGAGATGCTGGGATCCCCTCAAAATACTAGCCAAACACAGAGAGTAAATTCCAGCCTCTTGTTAACCAAATTCTGAGAATTGTTTATGAGCTCATCGACAGAATGCATTATCGACAAAATCGGTACCTGGACCCCTCAAAGAGGGTGCCATGGTATCTAAGTTACCATGAGCTATGGAAGAAATGACCATAACTACTAAATAATTACTCTGACCGGTAATGCTAACTTTGCTTGCACAGTTATGAATTGGGATATGTTTCTGCTGTGGGTTTCAATTTAGCTAAATCTGAGGTGTAGATCCTCAACCAGGGGGAGGGACATTTTTGGTTATCACTGCTGGGGAGGGTCACTACTAACATCAAGTGCATGGAGGCCAGGGATGTTGTAAAGCGTCTGACAATGTACCCAACAGCACGCCCAGGAAAGAATGATCCAGCTCAAAATGTCAACAGGGCTGAGTCTGAGAAGCCCTGGCATAGCCCCATGCTCCACATCTCGATTCTTCCATTCAATGGGAAGAATGCATAATAGAATAAAATTTTGAAATCTCAAATGTTTTGCCCAAATGCATGCCACATGCAAACACACAGACCTTCAGATTTCTTTCAGTCCTCCTTGGCACAGAGGTTGCACAGGTCCTAGGAAGTGGGTAGGAGGGACAGGGAAGAACAGAAATGCACACCAGCCCCTCCTGTCTCTGAACTTCTCTTCTCCCTACGCCCCATTTAAAACCTTTTCCCATATCATCATTATCTCTAGTCAGGGCTTAAAGTACAAGGACCCAGTTTAAAATTGTGTCTAAAATGCACAGTACCAGGCTCTTCACAACCAAACAGTTAAAGGAGGAAAGAGAACAGGAAGAGAAGGACAGGAACGAGACTCCCTCTGCGATCATTAGGTTTGTGTAAGTTTGTAATATTCCAAGGCCAGACCAGAGTCTTCTTCTGAAGTCCCATCATCCTGCCCTCTGATCATCACAGCCTTTGTCACAAAATGATACACTTAAACAGTATCCCCCTAAATCACACTTACAAAGTTTGAAACTAAGAAATGGAAAGCTCATGGCTTTTAATGAGCTTCACGTAAAGTCCTCTCAAACCTAAGACAACAATCACACTTACTATTCACACAGAGTAAAAAGGACATTTATTTTCAAATGTCACAGAAACTTAATAGTTATGACAGTTCCTCCTCTTGTCTACACATTGGTGGTTTATTGATATCTTTCTTTCCTTCTTTCTCTTCCTTCAGCTTGATTCTTATTCGTTCATCCTCTCCACAAATACTCCCTGCGGGATCTTGCTGTCTTCTGCAGAGAATCCAGAGAGAAAGTGGGAACAGTCACATCTCCTGGGAACACAGAGAGACATCCTCTTTCTCTTCCTTGTGGCAGCTGGAGAGGCTCTCTCTTCTCAGGGTGGGGACTAACTTGGAGAAACAAGGAAACAGGACTTTCTTATTAGGAATATCCAAACATCACTCCTCAGGTGGGCCCCAGCCCCACACACACACACACCTGAATCCTACTGAGCGTTCCTTGAAGAAGTGCTACTGCTTGCTAACCTGCTCAGATGGGATTCTATTGGCTTTAATAAATTCAGGAAGATCCATCTCACGTTATTTACAGTTTTCAGCTCTCTACATGTGTATGTTAAAAGTGGACCAAGGGGATGAGTGATGTCAGGGGCTAGGTTTAAGCTGGACCTTGAAATTCTGTGAACCTGTTTGACAATAACACTTCCCCCTCTCTGTCTCTGTGACCCCATGCAAAGGAGCTACCTCCATCCTCTGTGCTCAGCGTCAGGAAATCAGCAGGATCTGGCTGTGAATCTGTCTTCATGCCTCCTTAAATGTCAGGAAACAATATTTCAAGGGGGGCAAAGGTACCGTTCAGCTCCAAAATTTTCTCCAAATGGCGACAGGAAAATGTCATCCCTCGGCTTCCACCCCTAGAAGAATGTTGCAGGGCTACCTGGGCTTGCTAATAAAAGCGGAAAGTGTAAACGGACTGGTGATGACTGGCTCTCGCCCTTGGACGGAGAAATGAGATCACGATTTTCACGAAGGGCAAGAACCGCCGGTGCCGCCACTGCCGAGGCTGCTGCTGCTTCTCCCTGCGCGGGTCCCGCATTACATCACCGGTGAGCTCCTGCGGGGAGGGCGAGAGGAGGGTCGGCCGGAGACTCAGCCCCAGCCCAAGAAAGATAAATATAGAATAACAAGGATAGAGGGGGAGGGGGCGAGGGAAAGGGAGAAGAAAAAAGCAGGACCAGGTTTCCCACCACCACCCTGAGTGTGTGTATGGGGGAGGGCGTTGCATGGGCGCCGCACCCCAGATTCCGTTCCCGCATCGCCCCCCGCCCCCCAGCCGCCCTCAAGTCCCAATTCCAAATCCAGCGAAAACCGATATCCAAATCGGCCAGGGAAGCCGCCTTGAGAGGCCCAAGGGGGACGGCAGAGAGGCTCCCGGGGGCTGGGAGGGACGGCGGTGCCCGCGCCTTCTTGGGGGAGTCGGGGGAAGGCGGTCGC